ATAATATAAATTATAAATTACTTGAATTTTCTATAAATTATACGATTATTAAAGAAAAAAATTAAAATTAAACTATAGAATGGTAAAAATAGTGGGCAATTTCTGTCCTTAATTAACAGATTGCACAGGTGTATGGGAGTTAACGGACATCACTTTTGGCACCTACTGTAATTAAAGTTAGGTTATGTAAGGTAAGGTTAGGTTTTTGCAAATATCTCGCTTATTATTACGTTTAGGGCAAATGAAGCTTAATACTTTCTTATAGAAAAGTCACTGCTCTCTTAAATTCTGTTACAAAACGGTACGCATTCCATTTAAAAAATTCAAGGTAACCCTGATATTTCGTAAACATGTAGGTTATTAAAAAAAAACCGTTACAGCATCATATGTTCCCTTCGATACCGTGCAATATACATAAACTTTTTCAAATAAATGTTATTACTACGGGAACTTATATTACTATAAGTAACGAAGGACGAGGATAATAAATTTGCAAATTGTAAATAAATTATACTTATTCTATATTTATCACATTACACCTATTACATAAAACTGTTCGTTTATTTACAGAATGAATATTACAGATATGTTTTTCGCAGCTGTCACATGTTGAGTTGTACTTGTTGTCGTTCCCAATGCAAATGTAGCATCGAGAACGCTTTCGGGGTTCTGCCTTTGCTACAGTTTTCGAAATTTTTCTACCAGTCGCTTCTATTGCGTTTATAATATACTTGTGCAAAGTGGTTTCGTGGTTTTCGAACAGTGTAGCACGCCTGTTTATATTATCCGCAACTAATCTTTTCGCTAAATTTTCTAAAAATAGTTTCCTTTTCACTTTTATCGTATTATTACTTTCCCATGTGGGATTTTTGGTAATCCATATAACGAAAGCGTTGTACGCAGCGACATCTACATAATGCATAAAAAGTGACAGGGGCCAGCGACGAGTACAGCGTCTACAGGAGCACTCTTTCACTATTTTATCAAACACTTCTACACTGTTCTTTGTGGTATTGTAATAATTAACAATGTCCGGTTTGTAACTGTTTTCCGGGTTCGAAATGAAATGTTCGTGGTGTAAACTGGATAACAATATGACACATTTTTCAGGCTTTGGAACATAAGAAACTAGCGTCAAATTATCGGTGAACAAAAAATCAGCGGAGTATTGTTGACGGTGCTGAGTTTGCGTGAGTATTTTAGGTAAATCCGGGTTACGTTTGCGCACGGTTCCTGTAAGAAAAATATCGTTCGCTAACAACTCTTCGGCTAGACGGATATCTGTGAAGGAATTATTAGTGGTTATCGAGCGATTCGATCTCCTCCAAAAATCGGTCAGCTGTTTAACGATCCGTTGAGCTTGTTGCTTTTCAGGAATACTTTCAATTTTACCCAAATAAATGTCCATGTTGCAACAGTAAAATGTTTTTGCATCGCATAAAGTAAAAATTTTAATTCCATATCTGTCCGGTTTATTTGGCATGTGTACCTTAAACGAACAACGTCCGCGGAATGTGACCAGTTGCTCATCGACTGTACCAATACTAGACGCACTATAGGAATCCCTACAGTTTTTTATAAAAATATTACTGATAGCTCGCAGTGGTGCCAGTTTATCGATTGCTTTTCTATCTTCACGCGTGATGTAATCATCGAAACGAATGTGTTTTAATATATCTGAAAACCGGTCACGGGACATAGTAGCTGCGTAAAACGGTCGGCACAGCGCTTCATTTTGCCTCCACAAATCGGTTTTACGTTCATATGACTCTCGAAATCGTCCCATCATTAGTAGGAGTCCTAAAATTGCGTCGATTTCAATACGATCCACTGGATTCCACTTTTTGTTCGGCGGTATAGTCTCGTGTGCTTTATTGTTAGTATGTAAAATAATAGTGTCTATGATTTGTTCATTAATAAACAGATGAAAACATTCGTCGATCGTTTCTATATTTACACTTTTTTCTGTTAACGAATAGTTTTCAAATTCTATGGTATTGTTGTTTATAGGAGCAATACAACTCCACGTACGACCAGATACTATGTAATTTTTTTGATCTTCCATATCTTCTTCACGTTCTGAAGCGTCAAACTCGTCGAATTCGAAATCTTGAAACTCTGGCTCAATATCACTGCACGTCGAACTTGCACCATCCGATGATACTTCACAGTCATGTATATTTTCGTTATTTACAAGTTGATTGAAAATGAGGTGATCACTTATCGATAGACCAGACATTTCTAAACTAAAACTTTGTATAAAACTAGAAAAAAAAAACAAAAAATGAACGTCAACAGAAAAAAATTTTTCCCTCGTCTTCTACGTCTTCCTCCTTCAGAGTGTTATAAGGTACTGCTTTGTCCATCGGAGATCTACCACTGATGACTCAGCGCCATAAGAACGCCATAACTCAGCGCCATAACACCAGTTTCGTGCAATTGTTAACCGTTCAAAAACAATTAAATTAAATAAACGTCACGTAAAGTCTTCTTTAAATCATTCTCTTAAGAGTTCAACGAAATATTTGTTATCAAAGTACAGAGAATTACCTTCCAATAAGTACCCTTTTATTTTAACAAATGTTCTCTCAATCCTCGGTGTAGCATTCAGAAAGCTCGTGCATCCATTGTACAGTCGGTAACGACGAGCAACGAAGTCGGTATATCAGACCACCGTTTGAAGTCGCGAAGCTTCTGACCTCTGTAGAAAAAATTCGATACTACGGAAATATTATCACTCAGCATAGAAGGGGTCGCGAGACCGTTGTACTGTTGCCAACTGGGCCGTTACGTGATCCGAGACGATGTATCTTTCGATTGTCAGAAACAGCTGTGGAAACGCACTAGTGACTTGTTTACCCGCGTGTGAGCAAAAACTCGCATGGAGGACAGGCTGTCGGTTCGTTGAACGTTGTGCATCACACTAATGAAAGTGCACTTCAGGTAATGCACGACCGAAAGAAATTCTGCAACGATATGGTCCGAAAGTTATGCTCTCCATGACGACGTCGACTTTAACGATACTCTGTAGAAAGGGAATTGTGCACATGCGCCGATTCTATCTACCGTTGAAACACAATTTCTACGTTCTGACATGGATGAGACTGACTATGGCCGTTCCACAGTAACTGAGGTTTTTCGATGTCATAGGCATACGTAATCGTTTCATGCGTACGCGCCTTTATATCACGCTACTGGTTGATGACGTAGTACACGATCTTTTTTGCCTCGTCTTCTACCGCAATCTGCACTTTTTATCAAAACGCTGTGACGTTGATTTGTTATCAACGTCTGTGAGAACATTTTTTTGGTGAAAGTTGAATGAATGGTAACCAACGATTGTAGCACATGTTTTATTGTCTTTTTTTTCGTTGTAGTTGGATATTGATGGTTGAGTGTTATCACCAGTGAGAATTATTGTACAGATTTATTGTATTATTTATTATCAAATAACAGCTTTTTCGACTTTGAAATACATTTGTTTTTTGGAAGAAACGTAACATTAATGATTTTAATAACGTTTAAGAACTGTGGACATGAGGAATGATTAAACGATAACTGTACTAAAATTTCGTGTGCATATATTCTTATCATGTAAGTACTATTATAATAATAATGAAAAGCAACGAAGAAGTGTAAAAGGGATTAACGTTTTCCTAATGCAAACTCGTTTATTTTAATAAAATACTGTTTTATAGTACACAGAACTTTATTGTAAAATACTATTAACTGATGCACTAACAATAAGTGCATTATTTAACTTACCATTTAAAAATGTAGGAAACTAACTAATTTGATGGCAAAATAATATTGTTAACTTGACATAGCAATACTTAAAATTAAGAATAAATTTAAAATACAAAAATTGGAAGTTGTTACGTGCGCACGTGCTCGAGCGGTAGGCGGGAATTTTGAAACGAGTAGCAGACCACCAACTTTATACAAATTTGAATTTTTCTTATCAATTGAATAAAAACTTGAGTTCATGATTGTCTAGTCCCATACGGATCCTTGGTTTCGCAGTCTTTAAATTAGATTTAGAGGTGAATAATAATAAAAAGTGCAACTAGGTTTAATTTGAAATTGAATTTAGACCTTGTTCAAATAAATACGTGAAATATTGTCGAAAGAATTTTACGATAAAATAAAATAAAGAAATTTTACAGTAAAGAATAACATTGAAGCAGAATTAATATAATAAAATATGGAAACTATTTCGCTTACAATTTGATATTTTGCTTACTATTAGATATTACAATAGATGGTACAGGTTAGGAAATAAAACGAATTATGAATTTATAATAAACTCACCGAAATTACAAAAGTATAAGAAATAATATTTGCAGTATTTCTTGTACACATTTTTCAGGATATTAATAATGAATTATAAAATTTGCGATGCTCTTAATCTACTGTCTAGAAAAGTAAATAAATGAGCCTTAAAGTTTGATCGCAAACTTTACTCGCCGGATACTTTTAATCACTTTTATTCCTTAACTACTTTAGTCACATTAAAGTAAGAAAATTATTATTCGATAAGAAAGATACATTTTAAGGATGTTAAAAAAGTTTTTTAAGGATGAAAAAACTTCCAGAAGGAATATTTACATTTCTCGTATTTCTTGGCATATTTACTGTATACCTGAGTGTAGTATACTCCTGAATTACTATAAATATTATTCTTACGAAAATATTCGTTATATTCTCAAATTTTTAAAATTGAATTTTGTTTAATTTTACAGAGAACTCCTGAAAATTTTTAAATGAATTAAATAACTTAATACAGATTACGAGAGAAGTAAACTAAAATTTTCAAAATGATTGAGAAAGTTTAAATAAGTACATTTCTCCTTTTATTATTAATTCTAAATTTACAATATTCATTCATTGCAATATGAATAATTAAAAAATATCAAATACAAAATGTACAACACTGATACATTTTTTTATTGATTCTAAATTTACTATTCATTCGTTATAAAAAGAATAATTTAAAAATATCAAATTTTGAAGTTAAGTCTCAATAGAATTTATTGTACAGTGCTGGATGTGATGAAGTACTATAAATTTTGCTATAATTTCATTGCTAATCATGATGGAAGATTTTGATAATTTTATTAAAATTAAAATAATCTGCACGCCTAATTTTATCACTCAATAAAGAACTATACATTCTAAAAGCAGTTGTACACTTCAATATACATGTTTACTCTACTTACACATCTGACGTTTAGTTTGTTCTACTGATGGAGGGTCCAGAAACTCGATCTCCTTATTGTTTCCAATAATGTATTGTATTCTACCATCAGTTCTCATAAAAGGATTCAATCAGAAACAGGAAACGTCATAATTTGATAATACTGTGAATTTGGACGTACGCTTGTCAATTTATTTTGTTATTTTCACTGTTTAGTATATTTTCAGAACAAGAAACGCTGATGCATTATTTAATTAATGCATTAAAAAGTTACTAAAATAGAGATCGAAAAATTAGTAGAAGAGAATTATA